ACATATCACTACATCATTTTTCATCTTATAACCAGCATACATTGTTTTACATATAGCTACATCATTCTTCATCTTATAACCAGCACACATTGTTTTGCATATAGCTACATCATTCTTTATCCTATAACCAGCATACATTGTTTTACCTATCACTACATTATTCCTCATCTTATAACCAACATACATTGTTTTACATATCACTACTTCATTTTTCATCTTATAACCAGCATACATTGTTTTACATATCACTACACCATTTTTCATCTTATAACCAGCATACATTGTTTTACATATCACTACATCATTTTTCATCTTATAACAGCATACATTGTTTTACATATAGCTACATCATTCTTCATCTTATAACCAGCACACATTGTTTTGCATATCACTAAATCATTCTTCATCTTATAAACAGCATACATTGTTTTACATATCACTACATCATTCTTCATCTTATAACCAGCATTGTTTTACATATCACTACATCATTCTTCATCTTATTACCTGCATACATTGTTCTACTTATTACTTTTCCTCTACATCATTCTACTTCATTCTTATTACCAGTATACATTGTTTTTTATTATGTAAATTTTCTTCAGATTGAAATAACAAAAACCCAGTACAATGAATATATATTATTCTTGCATTCCATGTAAACTATATATTATTTCTTTTTTATTTCAATTATCACACAGGCTCATTCATTCACTCATTATTTTCATTATTCAGAGAAGGTAAATTTTAAAAGACTCGGTACAATATATTAAAGCACATCCTATCACAAACAATTCTTGTCTACTTATTCATTACAGTAGCAACATAGTTGTATTTGTATTATTAATAGATGTGATTTCAATGAATGAATTAAAAGCAATGAATGTATGATTTTGTCTGTTTGCACTTATTATATTATCTGCTGTATTTTTCAATTGGTATGTTATCCTATTAAATAATGATAGTGGAATTTTATCTTCATTTTCAAATGTCTTGCCTTCCAAATTAGCCATTGAGACTGAAATATGAGTAGATAACATAGTTTATTTATATTATCGTTATATTCTGAGAAACCAAAGATTCTTTCCTTTTCTGTTCATTGCTTGTTGCTAGACATTCATTTAGTAATTGTTCTATCCTGAACCAAATTGTTTTACTAAACCTGTCTCACTAAAAAGATGTTGTTGGGTTTCATGTACTTCTTAGTTACATAGACCATTTGATATCTGCATTTGTTTAAGTTTATATTCAGAGGTTAAAATTCTGTGTAAAAATCCTTGATTTTCCTGTCAATTATAGTAGCCAGATGGCATTCCAGTCTAATGCAAAAAGAGCATTCCATTTCTTAAGGGATTTTATCTCTTTACTATTTTGATAATATATATTTAATTATTTTGTAGAAACACTTGTTCATTGCTAAAATACTGTTTTATATACCATTTATAGATATTGCTATATACCATTCTTAAAGTATATTTAAATGTATATCTATTGCTGACGAAATTATGTGTGTTCCACTTTAATTAGACAGTATACAGGTAATGTGCTTCTAATATTGGCGAGATGAAACGTAACGCTCCGAAAATACAGTGAAAAGGTATTTTAATTGTGGTGTTTTGAAATGAGGGTACTTTTCTACGGTGGCAACAGGTATGTTAACATGTTTAAATTGATCATTACTTTAGGTTGCAAAGACGGTTTCTATGGCGGAACTTGTGATAAGACATGCCCATCAAACTGTCAGGATGGGGTCTGTAATATTCAAACCGGACAATGTGCAGGTATTAATGTTTATTACTATATAACATTCTAAAACACCTGGTCTTATCATTGTTATTTCTTTGCTATATACAATTCTTAAAGTATATTTAAATTTATATCTATTGACGACGAGATTATGTGTGTTCCACTTTAATTAGACAGTATACAGGTAATGTGCTTCTAATACTGGCTAGAGGAAACGTAGCGCTCCGAAAATACAATGTAAAGGTATTCTAATTGTGATGTTTTGAAATGTCTTTTTTGCTTTTGTATTTTATTCTGCCTGTTGAAATTCGTATTGAGGGTTTGTCGACATAATTTGAAAAAATTATACTATGCAACCATATCAATATATTTTACGTTGCCCTGTATTTTTTTTAGTTGCCATATACAATTTGACGGCCTTGACAAAAAGTCAATATACGGATTCAGCATGTCCTATATATTTGTAGTCACACGATATAATTGTGTTTACAACACTGGACCACTTTACGGCATTATTTGCCGGAAAGTGTCATCCGGGTCTTTGCCAATAGTGAAAATAAGGTATATGTGTAAGGTATAATGTCATTATTGTGTATTATTGTATGATTGGTCTGTTGGTGAGGATAGGGCATTTGTTTTGTATCAAAAGTTAGAGAAGTTTGTTATTCTATAACGAAAACAACATACAATATTCTATATCTCCAAAAATAGTTTGTACAGAGTATATTTTACATACATATTTAACAGACTTTTGACGTGACTTACAATAATAGTTCCTTAAGATTAGATAATAAATAAAAACTATTGACAAAGTAGGATATGGAACCGTGCTCTCCGTAGTCAAGTAAACCTACAGAAAGGCATAACAATTTCACTATTCTAAAAGATAAAACCATTTTTCTTTGTAACAAAATAATAATTGAACTTTTTAGTTCATATATTGAATACACAGATAACTTTCCCTTAAGGTTCAACAAGCCC